AGCAGGATCAACCACTAACCCTATCTTTACTTGAAGCTCCACAATAACAAATGCTTAACCCCACCACTAAACCTATACCCTTAATGAGGCTATAGGTATACATTTTAAAGGGATACTCCATGATACCTGAAAACTTGGAGGTGTTTGGTCGCTTCTGTGCTTGGCCCATATTGAATGAACTGGGCTAGTTAAGTGCTATCAAAAAAAGTGTCTCACGCACCAGAGCGATTGAGTGCATGTACTGAGTGAGACGACAGAGTTATGTATCAACTAGTCTTAGTTAAGGGAATAACCGTTTAATATGAAAAAACGCCCTTATCCCTTTAAGCCCAATTTCAATACAAAACATAAATAAAAAATAGCAAATCAAATGCTCATTATTTTAACCAATCCGGTGATTTGTGACTTCCCTGATGTTTGGTATTTTTATTGCAAACAAATCAGTTCCACCTTTGACTGGGCATAACTCCAGAGTCAAGCCACTTTTTATTCGTTTTGGGGCCTGAATAGCTAACTTTTGAAAATGGTTTTCAATGTGAAAGTGCAAGAAAATGATATTGCCTTTGTCTCAGTGTGAACAAGCCACAGAATAAAAAAATAAAAAAAGGTAATTGCGTCTTTATATCTCATTCTGACTTTTTCTCACAATTGCTAGTTTACATCGCGCAATTCTGACTTTATAACTCGCAAATTCAACTTTTATCACGCAATTCTGAGAATTGTCGCAATTGTGTATTATAAAGTGTGATGCGTGATATAAAGTCTCAATTGCATGTTATAAAGTCAGAATTGTGAGTTTATTTCTGACTTTATACCACACAATTGTGACTTTATATCACACAATTCTGAGAAATAAAGTCAGAATTGCGTGCTGTAAACTCGCAATTGTGAGATAAAAAGTCAAATTGATCTTTTAAAAGTTTTATTCTGTGGTGGAAACAAGCTTCCATTCTAATGTAGAGTTCGCAAAGAGGAAAGAAAGCCAACATACTGAAAGTTCACCAAAGAAACATAAAACAGTAAAATTAACTGAAATATTTTTATTGGAAGTGTTCATACTTAGTTGATTCAACAAATTCTTCTTCATTACTTGTATGTTGAAAATGTGCAATCTGTTTGGACTAAATTGGTTTAGTTTTCATTGACGGTGCGTTTTTTTATCAGCGCGTGCTTTAAACCCTGAACCCATGCGCAGTTTGAGACTTTAGCTACTCGATGGTTAGGTGTCTGCAGTTGGTGAGAAGTTGGTAGGGGAGTGGCATAGCTGTGTAGGCTTACATGGGGTGGGGCTAGGGATCAGGGGGTGGAGATGGGTAGCTCCTCCCCCTGGATTTCGTATCTATCCCTCCTTTCCCTCTCTGCCGTGCGTGCGCTACGCATTTTGGAGCACCGTCTCTGTCTCGCATGTGCGCTGGCTCTAGATTTCGGGAGATTTTAGTTCATTTGCGGCATAGTCGATCACGAGTAGCTCAACAGGTAGATCTATTAAAATCATCTTTCTGGCATTTGACTGAACAGGTTGACACCTAAGCGCGAGAAATCATCGGTGTGGCATGTGAAACCAATCAAATGACTTTGTCTCATGGCCAATGCGAATTGGCAGCTTGAGTGCTGCATTCAATTCAGCGTTTTTACAGAATCCCTTGTATCTATTAATAATTTTTTTTAATTGACTAGATGTTATTTGTCATTGCGCACGCTGCTGATGTTAACTAGCGGTGTCCTGCCTATTCAATCTGCAGCATTTCTGTATCAGCGATCAGGCCCAAACATAAATGATCACATTCACTAATCTATCCTAACGATCCGCTAGCTGCTATTAACTACGTAATTAGCTGTATTAACGACACACTGACGGGAATGTTGTTCTTTGTGTTGTTTACTGGATCGCTTGTAGCCTCCATGTTGTTTGTTACCAGCTCCAGTGTTGTGCCTAATTTGACCCCCTGACAAATTATTATCCTCCTCATTGAAGTCAGTACCTGATTGCCTACCCCCCGCCCCCCCCCCCCTTAAATCTTTATTAGATCAAAAATCTAATAATTGACATACTTATTGGATTTTTTGATTTCTGCATTTCATTTGCACATTTCATGGTATGGTCAATGTAGTTAAATATATTATATTGAAAGAAGGGCAAAAGTGTTTGTATTAAATAACATTCACATAGATTAATTCATGTTGCAAAAAATATTGTTCATTCAATTTGTTGATGTTATAAAGCATTAAGTAATGTTAATGAATGGTAGCCTTATCTTATTTTAGTGTTATTAAACTATACAGGAGATATTTGACTTGACTGTACTTTTATTTAATCCAAAACTGTTCATATTTAATTTTAAAAGGGATTTTTAAACCTGCTATGAGTTGCCCAGCCAACAAGAACTGCTTGTCTGACGGACTAAAATGAATGGCAATAGGGATGCAGCCGATGCACTGATACTGATACCAGTACGGGTGTCGGTCCGATACTGTGCTCATGTAGGCTACTCGTACTCGTAAAACTACCCCGATACAACCGCACCTGAGTCCACTTTAGTGGCCGGTCACATATCGCGTTTTTTTGCGCGCAAATTCCAATTTCTCATAATAGAAGCGACGCGTCACGGGTTATATGCTTTGGCGAGATGAAAACATCTTAATATCTCATCTCAGGTCATGTGATAATAAAAAAAAAACAACCGAAAGCTCTGTAACAACATCGAAAGCTCGGCTTTTTATTTATCATCTCCATAAATATTTAAAGTAGTAAAGATAATACAAGGGCTAGAAATCCATTAATTATTTGCTCATACTTCCTCGTCCCCATGAAGAGCGCAGTTCGTACCGCTTTCTCCTTTCCACAAGCGCGTGCTCTCCCTTGGCGTCTGTCGTTGCTGTGCAACCATGAACAGAGGCGCGCCTCTTTATAAGCGAACTTGCAGCGCGGCCCCTTATGGCAACGTGAAATAAGCCTAACCGAAAATATTTCCATATGTGGCTCTTTCCTCCTGACTGTCTTGTCATCAAGTGGATTTAGAGCCTCCGCATTAGCAGCGCCGCAGGTGTGTTTTAGGCTACAGATCATGTGAAGATTTTGCAGCGGCGCTGAATACATTATTGGGGAAACATTAAATTGGAACACAATTGCCTGATTTCACAGACAGAGCTTAGACTAAGCCAAGATTATGCCTTAGTTTAAAGCAAATATCTTTTATAAACGTGCCTTAGAAAGAAAAGAAAAACATTACTGATGTACACCTTGAAACAAAGCATCTCAAGACTCTGACTTAATTAAGATAAGTGCAAGATAAGTGATTAAATAAGATATAAGTTGCTTTCAATTATAACAGCTTGAACATGCATTTTAGTTTGGGACTATCTTGAGCCTTATCTGTGAAACCGGGGGTAGGCTACTGATGATGGCCAAGCACACACACACAGCTGATGCAAATTGTCCGCCCCCTCGTCAATATCAGGACCATCAGTATTTCTTTCACCCTTTTATTGATGGACAGTGTTACATTGTGTGAGAGATTATTTGCTCCAAGTCAGAATTCTAGTGTGAATTTGAACACAGCATATGCCAATGTTGTTTTCAATAAAAAACATTTGCACAAAGCAAGCCGATTCACTTTTCCAAGTTGATAAGAGCATTAAAATGAGAAAAAAATAACGGGACAAAAAGAAATCAAGAGACATTTAGAATAGATAAAAATGTGTGATTAATTGCGAGTTAACTATGACATTAAAGGTGCCCTCTGGGATAAAAAATCAAATCATACACCATATTCCATACCAGATGGGGGCAGTATACCTCCAGAAAAATACCTCCGCGGCCGCGCGCCGCGCACTCATGTCTTCAAACAACACAGGCGAGCGTTACCTCGTGCATATTAATGAGTAAAACTAATAGTAAAAGGTTGGAAGACCGCAGTTTCATGTGGATCATTTGGAGATTTTCAGAGATTAGAGACTAAATGAACAATCTCAATACTAAATTATAAAGGCCGTCTCATTGACAAGCCGGTGCATTTCGACGATATGGGAAAATTAAAGCCCAGGCATTTTTAGTTTTTATGGTATTCGTTTTGTTCATGTTACATTTTTATCATTAGTTTGAATTAATTTGACAGATAGCATTCCCTGATGTGGACCAAGCTAGCGCCTTTCAGAGCTGCCAACTCTCACAACACTTTTCACACACTCTCACGCCACATCCATTTTGTCATGCACAGAAAAGGACACAGAGACCGATCTCAGCTCTCAGATTCTGTTAATTTTATTATGCAATTCAAACAATAAATGCAGTTTTGGCGCTTGTAAATGTTAGACGACAGATCCCTAGCGCACGTGAACCGATCATCTCTACTAGCTAATGGTAAAAGAACACGAACACTGTTGAAAGATATGTTACAACTTACCAAAATGTATTCCTCATGCATAATATCGACCAATCATTTATTTAACTCATCCCTGAACTGAAATTTAGTAGTGGGCTGTATTTCCACACGACATCACGACATGACATCAGGTTCAAGTACACACAAGCCGGCGCGACTTACTCGTGTTACTGCAGTTTGGCTGGTGGCAATGTTGCCCGCCCGCATACCGCCTCCCATGGCCTAAACTGGTATTACGACACCTGCCGGGCCGGGGCTAGTAATTTAGCATGCTAATTTAGGTTATATCTCGGCAGCACTATAACTTGTCAGTTTTTTAATGACATCATTGTACTTATTTCTTCTCATTCTTTTGATGTGTGTAGCTCATTTTTTGGATATTTTTACCTCAATTATTCCATATGGCACCTTTAATGTGATTAATCATGATTAAATATTTTAATCATTTGACTGCACTAATTTATATATATATATATATATATATATATATATATATATATTAAATATCCTACATTTTGTTAACCTGGTCTATATATTGTATGAGTCTTCTACATTTGATAAATATTAATTATATATTAATACTTAAGATAATCAATTGATGTTTTTTACTCTCCACAGAAACCCATGGGCAGCTCAATGGAAACTATCCTCCTGTGAACGAACAATCTCGTCCTGGACATGGCACTCTTGTGCGCTCCATTGAAAAGGACCTTCAGGACATTATGAATTCTCTGTCTATGGATGAAGGCCAGACTTCCTCATCTGAGCACTGTAAAAAAGCCCACCAGTCTGCCATGCTCAACGGGGGTGGCCAAAGTCTTGTCTCTCCTCCAAACAGTCCTGGTGCTTTGTCAGTAAGCTCCATCTATGAAAATACCAGTCTTCCTTTCTCCCCCATCTCCACCTCCTCTAGGGTTAGCAGTCCAGGGGCTTGTTTGGACTCCTCTAATACCCGTTCCACCAGCTACACCCGCACCGTCCAGCCCCCGGTGCCACAACCACGCACTTTTGCATCCAAGGCCAGCAGTTCCAATGGGGAAAGTCCCAGGCTTCAAAAAGCCTTGACTGAAACCCCCTCAAGCCCTGCTACAAACCGTAGAGGTGAGAATCCACACCTGGCCCATGGTTCCTCCTCTTCGTCACTATCATTTGTATCTGGAGATTTAAGCAGACAGGTCAATACCAGACTCACCTCCCCATCCTCACCGGCATCTTCTAGCCCTCGATCCAGTGTTGGCTCATCAGTCCAAGAAAATTCTTCTAGTCTTCAGTCCCATTCTCATGCACTCCTTCCTCCAGACAGTCCCCAGTCGTCCCGCCGTGGTGTAGAATTGTCCAGTATGCGTCAGCTTCCTCCTCTCAGTCCCTCTCCATCACGCAAAGGTGTCCTGGGGGTGCCTGTACTTCCTGGAGCTCTGCCTGGTGTTCCTTTAACGTCTCGTGGTCGGACTGTACCAGAGAGTCCTCGTCTCCAACGACGAACCACAGCAGAGGATGAAGCAGGAAATATGAGATTGCACGGCAGAAGTCCATCTCCTGTATCAGCTCTTTTGAAGGACCAGCCTGGCGGAAAGCAGAACGGTGTTCTCAATCCAGCTTTTGGTTCTCAGACAGGGGCATCTCCTCTCACTAGTCCCCGTAACCAGAGAAAGAACTCAAGGGAGCCTCGGCAGGTCCAGACACGCACACGGGAACGCAAGAACAGCATTTCAGAGGTCAGCGACAAAGAGGAAGACCTCCTGGAGTACCATCGCTGGCAGAGAGAGGAAAGGATGCGTGAGCAGGAAATGGAGAGGCTGGTATGTATGAGCATGTGTGTTTACAGTACCTGTCAAAAGTTTTCACCTACTCGTTTATTATTATGTACTAGTTTTATCATCATACTATGAAATAACAAAAATGGAGATACAGTACTGTTTAAAAGATTGGCATCAGTTAGTTGTTGTTGTTTTTAAAGAAATTAATACTTTTATTCAAGAAGGATTAAATGGATCAAAAATGACACTAAGTGACAGTAAAGACTCTTATAGTGTTACTTAAGATTTCCATTCCAAATAATGCAAATTAAAACTTTCTATTCATTTAATAATTCTGAAAAACAAAATGTATAATGGTTTCCACAAAAATATTAAGCAGCACAACTGTTTTTAACATTGATTATATTTTTTGTGAGGACCAAATCATGATGTAAGAATGATTTCTAAAGGATCAAGTGACACGTTTTTTACCTTTACATTGCAATTACATACTTTTATGATGTTTTAAAATGAAACAAATAAATGCATGCTTGATGAGCTTAAGAGACTTTTAAACATTTAAACAGGAGTGTAAAACTTTTAAACATTAAACATTTAAAGAGAAGTGTAAAACTTTTAAACAGAATTGTATGGAAATCATGTAGTGCCCAATAACAGGGTCAAAACTATCAGGGCTTTTTTCACCAGGTCACCTCATGCGTTTTCTCTGATCGGATAGCTATGTAAATTCTCTCCTAAATGCTTTCGAGACGGATTAAACTTCAGGAGGAGGTAGTCTGAGACGCATTCCAGATTAAACAGGACAAATATAAATGCATCTGGTTGTTTAAACCAGATTTTACTCCTTTTTGCTTTAAATTTTACACACACAAAAAAAATTAAAAATAAATAAAGTGTGAGGGCATGTTATAGGATGTATAACACGTTACCAGTGTACTGCTCTTTTTCCTATTGCTTCAATTTAGCTGATGATAAGTAAAATGCAGCTCATATCTGTTGCTTTCGTTGACTTTAACTCCTGTGCTTATAGTGCAGGAATTGAAGATTGTAAGATTATGTGTGTGTATATATATATATACAGTGCCCTCCACAATTATTGGCACCCCTGTTTAAGATGTGGTCGAGGACTTTTAAAAATTCTCCCTTTTTTTTAAACAACATAGAATCCAAATGCAAAAAAAGAGAAAAATCCAACCTTTTATTTAAGTACATTACTTTGGTGGTAAAAAAAAAATTTAAATTTAAAAAAATAAAAACTTCAAATCATGTGTCCCACAATTATTGGCACCCCTGATGTTAATACTTTGTACAACCCCCTTTTGCCAACAAGACAGCACTTAATCTCCTCCTATAACATTTCACAAGATTGAAGAACACAGAGAGAGGGATCTTTGACCATTCTTCTTTGCAAAATCTTTCTAGATCATCCAGTATCCTGGGCCCTCTCTTGTGCACTCTCCTCTTTAGCTCACCCCACAGGTTTTCGATTGGATTGAGGTCTGGGGACTGAGATGGCCATGGGAGGACCTTGAGTTTGTGACTGAACCATTTTTGTGTAGATTTTGCCACACGTTTTGGATCATTATCCTGCTGAAAGACCCAATGACGACCCATCTTCAGCTTTCTGGCAGAGGCCATCAGGTTTTTATTTAAAATGTCCTGGTAGTTCAAAGCGTTCATAATGCCATGCACCCTAACAAGGTTCCCAGGGCCTTTGGAAGAGAAACAGGCCCACAGCATCACAGATCCTCCACCATACTTCACAGTGGGCATGAGGTACTTTTCGGCATACACATCTTTTGTTTTACACCAGATCCACTTAGAGTGTTTGTTGCCAAAAAGCTCAATCTTAGTCTCATCCGACCAAAGCACACGATCCCAGATGAAGTCCCAGTGCCGCTTGGCAAACTCCAGACGTTTACGTTTGTCAGTGTTAGTGAGAAAAGGCTTTTTCCTAGCATGCCTCCCAAACATCTTGTTGGCATGTAGAGAGCGTCTGATGGTTGTTTTGGAGATTTTGTGACCCCAAGATGCCACTATTTGATGCAATTCTGTGACAGTGAGCTTAGGACTTTTTTTTACTTTTCTTAGCATCCTCCTCACAGTGCGTTGTGGCAAGATAAACTTGGGACCTCTTTCAGCCTTGTTTGTCACTGTTCCTGTTGTTTTAAACTTCTTAATGATTCCTCTAACTTTAGATACGGGCAATATAAGGTGAGTGGCTATTTTCTTGTAGCCATTGCCTGACTTATAAAGATCATCACACATCTGCCTTACTTGAATGGTGTGTTCTCTTGTCTTTGCCATGTTGACAAATGGGTAAGAGAATTAGGCCTCTGTGTCATGTCATATTTATACCCCAGGGAAATAGGAAGTCATGAATTACTAATTAAAAGTTCCTAGATATCCTGACCAACATTAGCAACTACAGAAAATATATATTTTTTTAAAAATCAATTACATTTTTCAGCGGAATTGTTAGGGGTGCCAATAATTGTGGGACACAGGATTTGAAGTTTTTATTTTTCTAAATTTTTACATTTTTTTTTACCACCAAAGTAATGTACTTGAATAAAAGGTTGGATTTTTCTCTTTTTTTGCATTTGGGTTCTATGTTGTTTAAAAAAAAGGGAGAATTTTTAAAAGTCCTCAACCACATCTTAAACAGGGGTGCCAATAATGGTGGAGGGCACTGTATATATATATGTCTGTTTTGCAGAGGTAAATGGAATCGTTTTAACTAATCAGATACCTATCCGTAAATCAGTGACCAGGTAAAAACCTTTATCGTTTAGCTTTTTTTTTCATATGTATCTTAAAAACATGATTTAGATCAAATGGTATTTTAAGATCATGAGACAAATGAGAGAAACTGAGTCAATAGTATCCAAACTTTTAAGAGGTTCCATATGTGTGTACACAGATGTGGTGTTTCAATTGCCTCAAAGATGTTTTGTTTCTTCACTTTCAATTCAAATCCAATCTAAATATAAGTTCTGGTACTAATTAAAGTGATGCTTTTTTGTCTTTGGGAAATAAAATGAAATAGAGAGAAGCTATAGATTGCTGTAGAGCACTGATGAGAGTATTTGTGTAATGAGGCTTTTGTCATTGTGTCATTGGCTTTTGGAGTGGCCTCAGTACTGGAGGTTGAGCGGGTGGAGTTTATATGGAGAGAGTTTTCTGGTCAAGACAGAACAGTCAGGAATAACACACAGATGTAAATTCCTGAGGCCTTTTAAAAGCTTGTGCAGAACGTGTGGCTTCCCAAAGACTATATTTACCCGACACAATCTCAGTGCTTTGAGCTGCCCTCTTCTTCATATGCACACACACACACACACACACACATACTGTCCTCATTTAGCAGTCTAAACATTAGTCTCTCTTCTCCCTAAATTAATCACACACAGACATCATCTCTCTCATTTAAACCTATTAAAAACCCAGACATTGCTTGGGTGCATCTCAAATTCCCATATGGAATTGCCATTCATTCATCTTTCTTATTTATCCCTGAAATTATATAAATCTTCGGTGGCTCTAACCAGCTCACTTAATGGCATTTTCATGATTTTTATGAAGTACTGTAACCTGTTTTAAAAATTCAATGCACATTGCGCACACAAACCTAATTATATGCGGCTGCCACACATTCTTGTTATTCCCTTGAGAAAAACTATTTTAGGCCATTTACTATGAGACAGAACTAAATGAATACAGGATAGTCATTTTCCATAATATCACTCTCTTGTTAGCGTTTTGAGACAATGGCAGGAACATTAGGTTTGTTATGAACAAGAGAGCTCTGTTTGGGTTAAACTTTGTCCTATGGTCTCTGGTCTGTCTGGCACTGTTGTCATGGTTACAGCACAGCTTTATCCAATGGTGTGGCAACTTGAAAGGTAGTGCTAGTTTTTGTCCAAAATGAGTGGACTGCCCTTTTTAATGCTGCTCTCAGGTTAGTATCACCCTTAGAAGAACTTGTGCCAAATTAAAGCACAGCTGAGCTGTATGTTAATTAAACATTAATCTCCTTTCTAATGTCAGCAAATGAATAGACATTGATAGCTTAAAAAATGGCCTTTTAGAGGTGCGTGACCTCGCAGCATGCTCTTGTAAGCCGCACGTGACCACACATTCTGGGCTTATGGGCAGGAGTGATTTACACTCAGAAAGGGGGAACATTTCATCGGGTTCTTGAGCGGAAAAGCATTTGGGAGATAAGATAAAAAGACAAAAGCGAGCAAGTGTATTACAAGCGAGAGGAAAGAGATCTAGTAAAAATCTTTTCTTCTAATCCTGACAAGAGATAATGGCTCGTGGGGTAATGTCATATTTACTTTCAAATCCCTTTACGTGTCTGTGTTTACTCCGTTCTAGGTCATGGCCCAGTTGGCTTGAAAATGTGTTTCTTCTCTGCTCAATGATAGTATTGCTGTGCTCCGCCCTCCCTTTATCTCAGACACACATTCTCCAGACAGCCGTATTCCCAACAACAGTGGATCTCAATTGGTTTTGCTTCAGGAACCAGATTTTACATTTGACATCAGTTGTTGACCCAACAAACAAAAAAGTTTGGGGTTTGAAGGAAGTCTCTTATGCTCACCAGGGCTGGATTTACTTGATCAAAAATGCAGTAAAAACAGCAATATTGTGAAATATTATTATAATTTAAAATAACAGTTTTCTATTTTAATGTTTTATAATGTAATTCCTGTGGTGTCAAAGCTGGATTTTCAGCAGCCATAATGTCATTACTACAGTCTTCAGTGTCACATGATCTTTCAGAAATCACGCAAATGTGATTTCTGATCATATCAAAATCATATCAAATGTGAAAACAAAGTGCTGCTTACTATTTTTGTGGAAATGGTTTTACATATTTGTCAGGATACTAAAAAAAAATTTTAACCCATTTTTGAGTGGTTTTCTGTTCATTTTGTCACAAACTTTTAAAGATGACATCAGGCTGACAAGGAACAACTACGAGTGTAAATGCACGGACAATAGCAGAAACTGTGGGCTACCAGCATAATAGATGGAACAAATATTTGGACAAATAATTTATTATTATGAACCACATGACCAAGTGACAGGTGAATTTGTGGCAAAATACCTAAATGTGAAATTGGATTGATAGGCTTTGATGCAAGAGTTAGGAAGTATTTTCACCTCCCTTTTAAAAATCTGTTTATTTTATTTTATCTGACTTATTTTTGCATGTATTATTTTTTTGGTCACAGCACCAGAAAATCACTTGTTTTACACCACACACAAACACATGCACTTTGTCTTCAAAATCCATAAAGATGTGTGCCTCTGCTGCCTCACTGAAGTTTTAAAGGTCATTTTCCTTTTGTTCCTTTCTGTGTCTGTGGAAGCTACAGAGAACTGAAGCATTTCATACTATGAACCACATGAGGGCGATATGGCACCAACCTTTGAAAGAAATAACTTTTTTCTTTGTTTACCAGATTAAAAAACATCTAAAAATCAGTTTAAATATTAAAAGCACTGTTTTCCTCTGCAATTAATAGATGTATACCCTAAATACACATTTTTAATTACACTTTTTTTATTCATTGATGCGCATAAGAACATTTAAATTAACCATCTCTTCTTTTAAACCACCACTTACATTTAATATCGATGCTTGGAAGATTTTGCGTGTGGAGAGAGAGGAAAAAAAGATGGAAAGTATTTTTTTAAAATCTGCATTTACACAAAAATTTCCCAGAGCAATTTCTATAGAATACACTTTACACTTAACTCCCTTGTTTAAACCTGTTTTTCAGGGCCCTAATAATGAATTCAATTTACTGTCTTGGCTGTTGTGCCCAAATAGAGGATAGTCGTGTCTTAAAGTGGCTTTTACACACATGTTTAGTGCTCTGGGCTTTGTGTTGGTCTGTCTTCAGCATGCAGACCAGCTGTGCTGACAACCTTTTGTTGGAGAAGAATGCTGTTGCTACGTTACCCATCAGTTAGCGTTTCCTTGTTCCAGCACTCTGTCTGCACTCTCCTGACAGGGGAGACCTCGTTAAAAGGGAAGAGCATATGCTTTGAGACGTTCTATTGGCTGGTCTTGTGAGATAATGGCTCAGTGATAAAGTCTTTTACAGCACCGAACACCTAGAGCACGAAATTCAATCTGTTACAAATAAAAAAATATGCTATTTATCTTGTACTGTGCATTTTCAGACGTCAGAGTCTCAGGCCTGTCTTGACATTTATTTGTGTAAATAATTCCTTAGTTCGTCAAAATAAAAATTTCTTAGGTGAAATGGATGGCTGTAGATTACTTGTGCTCTCTGCCATGCTATTTTAGTAATGTCACTCGTGTCATCTAGCCAAGATGAGCTGGGTATTGTCCATGTAAAAATATAATGAGCCCCAATGCCTAGAGCGCTAGTTAGTCCAGCTAGAGCTGCGGGACTCTGGCAGCCTGTATGTAGAGGGTGCACACACACACACACACACACACACACACACACTGTGTATGTAGAGTGATGGCAGCAGCTGACTATCACAGCCAGGTGAGAGGTCGCTTGAGTGTGCTCAGAGGTTTGCGGGTCAGTAACTGGATTGAAGGGAAACTTTCACAAAGGGAATTTTTATGAGACCTTAAGCACTGTTGCGGATGTTCAGGATTTTTAGTTTATTATTTATACTGAGTTGTTTAATGTGTTACCGATGCTGTAGGATGTTACGGGAGTCACACAGTGCCGTAAGTGGTTTTTGAAATGTTGGTGTCAGGTTGCAGTTAGTTTAGAACATACAGACTTGAAGCTCTTAGAAGAGTGTTAACTACATGTGTTTACACCATTTTAGACCTGTGTGTGAGTTTTTGTGCCATTTAAAGATGTATGCACAGCTAAAACTTTTTTTGCGTTTTTAGGAGAGGCAGAGGCTTGAGACCATCCTGCATTTGTGTGCCGAGTATAATAAGAGTGATCCTCCGGTTGGCTTGGACGCTGGGAGGGCGTGTCAGTTCCCGGGTATGGAGGAGGTCTCTGTTCGACGACCCGGTCCTGTCCCGGCGACTGTGCCGGCCCAGAGCTCTCAGAGACAGCGAGAGAATGAGGAGGAGAACCTGAAAGAGGAGTGTAGCAGCACTGAAAGCCAGCACCAGGAGGTACAACACACACACACACACACACACTCTATGCGTGATTCTCCCACTATTAGACTGAACAGAACATTTTTAAACAATGTGAATATACACTTGTGTCATAATTAATAAGAAAAACTGAAAGATTCTGCGCCATTTCCTGGTCACTAGTCAAATAAGTTCATTTGTGACATTTGATCATGTGATTTTTGTAAAGATGGTCATGTTCTTGCTTCCACTAAAGCACAAGATGCTCTTTGGATGATCTCAAATCGTGCTGGAGAACATGATCATCAGTCTTGACATGAACTTGTGGAGTTCACGTGCGGCTGTAATTAAAGCAAAATGTATGCTAAAAATATATAATATGTTAAAATATATAGTATTTAATAAATACTAAGAAATATGTGTTAATTTCTCAATTGAATTAAATTAGAAAAATGGAACAGATATGCATTTTGGGATTTTTAGACCTCATTATACACAAAACAAAAACTGCTTGAATGAGTATGTGGACATATTTGTGCACACACTTTATTATGTATATGACCATAATTTAAAGTTTTATGTGAGATTTTGTGTTGTAGTTGTGGAAGTTTCTACGCACTTCATGTGGGAAAATGGTCTGCTAGTCCCTTTTGAATTTGCCTAGATTTGAATATTTCTTCTATGTCTCTCTCTCTGCCTTCTTCTCTCACTTTCTTTAGATAAAATGGTTTTCATTCATTTAGGTCACTGTTAGAAGGCCACGTAGAGTTTATTGTTGCAAACATTGTCTGAGTAGCTTCACCAACACACTCACAAACACAATTTGTTGTTGTGTTTGACAAATGCTTTTTCAGCATGAAGATTCCTCAGTGCTGGGGCAGCAGGAGAGAGCATATCTGGAGGAAGAGCGGCTCAGGGTTCTGGCTCGGGTGGACGAGCTGAAGACTCGTGTCACTGACCTGGAACAGCAGATACAGGAGTCCAGACAGGAGGTTAGACTAAACCTACAGACCGTTGCCTGTGTGATGTGTCCACAAAGTACATGTACCTTCCTTCACTTCCATCATAACCACATGAATGAGAGCGAGAGATGTAGATATTCACATCAAAACTTGTAAAGCCTGCTCAATCACTAGTCGTCTTCATCTCACGTCAGTGCATCACCATCTGTCATGCATAGAAACATCTTTGGTGTTGCATATTAAAATCGATGTGAAAGCAGGATTCTGCCTGATCAGCAGTGCAGCGTTCTTCATGTTAACACAGAAACATATGGAAGTGAACAGACTGTTGAATGTGTCATTTTATTGGCAGGCTGAGATGGAGAGAGCATTACTACAGGGAGAACGGAGGGCAGAGCTTGATCAAGTGGAGACAGAGTTGGAGATCATCAATCAACTTCAGCTGAAACTGAATGAAGTGGAAAATGCAACTCAGAAGGAGAAAGAGACGGTACTGACAACAAACAAGTGCTATAAAGCATGCTTCCCTGTTTCCTCTTTCTACCTTGTGGATTCATCTTTGCTACCATGCTAGTTTCTAACAGTCTGACATCTAACTTTTAATAATTCAAATTACACTGACTATATTGCATGTTTCACTGGGCACTTTCATATCAGTCTTTTGATAAAAATAAATTACTTTGGAATGAAATCTGCAATAAAACATTAAAGCCGCTTTGTTCCACACCACAACATAAAGAATCAGTTTTCTGTAGGTATAATAAAAATGTATTGAAAGTAAATGTACACATCGATAAATGTTAAAATCGGTGAAAATACCATAGGCAAGGCAATCAAATAGAGATACAATATTGTCTGTAAATATACTATATGTTCTACAACTGACTGCTGTATGAATATTTATTCTGCTCAGATAGTCTGCTGCAATATGGGCTCTGATTGCCATGGCAACCCCATATCTAAACCTCTGTTTTAACACAGCATGGTGTCTTTATCTAAGCAGTTTCCTCTTTGTTTTCACCTCTCTCCGGCCTTACTGGCTTGCTGCGTGTCTATTTCACTTGTGTGTATGTTACGTGTGTGTAATGTTTTTTAGGAGAGAGCAAAAGTCTCAGCTGAGCGGGATGTCCTGGCCAGACTGAGGGATTCGTACAGTGAGCTGAAGGGCCAGCTTCATAAATGCCCAGAATCACTGAGGGAGCACTTACAGGAACAACTGACCAGGGTCAGTGTGCGATTTGATACTGCCGTGACAGTCACAGCGATTATCGAACATATACATCCGCTTCACTTTAAAGAGGAGCAGGAGAAATGAAAGAAAGTATAGGTGGATTGAGTGGACATTAAAATATATAATGAATACCGATTGATCTCATGATTTAAAAAAAAAAAAAATAGTTAGCACAGTTAGTTGCCAGTTCACAGTTTCCCTCTAATTTAGAAGTCTTTTTCTATAACCAAATATATATATATAAAAAATTCACTCACCAGATTTAATAAAAGCTTTGATAGTAATGAGATGAAATGAATTAAAATAAATTACTTTATTGTCCCATGTGGATCAAATTTATAAATTCATTGGCTATCGTTTCTCTAAGCATAAAGGAAAGCCTTGCTACAAGAACACTCTTTTCTCTTTTCCCAGCCAGTCTTTAGAAATAAGACAAAACACCATGAAGCAGTTGTACTGTCAATTTATTTATATTTATTTTTAGATAATTTAATTTGTAACTTATAAATGTAACTGTGATAAACATTTAATTAATGAAATTATTATTTAACACATTAATCATGACGGCTTTAAGAAATAGACGACCAATGAATAAATATATAAATTTAAATACACCAATACAGAAATTTTGGCTGATATTATAATTCTGTTTTGTTTAAATCATTTTGTCGAAATGAATGAAAAATAAAAGATTACAAAATGTAATCAGTTGTTTTAAATGCTAAGTGAATGTAGGTATTTCACTGTCATAATGCATAGTACTCTAAGATGATTGATGTGTTGGAAATGGTGAATTAAAGCAATGTAGATCTAAATATAAAAAAGGCAAATTAACACGCACAGTTGAATACCCAATGTCAGCCTGCCTCTACAATTATAAAATAAAATGGCAAAGAAGAACATTATCAGAGAACAGCCAATTAGATTGATGTAGATTTACTCCTATATAATGCCATTTGTACACAAGACACTCAATGAAAATAACTATTGGAATGTATCACCCTCCAGTATCACCAGCAATTAATGGGCAAATCACATGATATGATACAACAGCCTTAACTGGACAGCTTGTTAGAGTCTGGATCTGCACAAATATCCTATGGCTGTGTGTGTTGGCTGTGTGTCTGCACTCCCTCTCGAGCCACATTATGCTCATGGCAATAAAGGGTTTACACACTGACTGAACAACCATGATCATTGTGATGCACCTCTTCTCTTCAGGGAATGAAACTGCATGAAATTCATTTATTTGTCTGTCTTTTGCTTTTCACTCTTGCTTAAGTGCTTATTTTACTAAATCTCCTCACTAATTCACTGATATGGTGATGAACTGAGCGAATCACCTCACTCTTCTTTATCTTTGTACCAATAATCTCCAAGCAGAGGATGTGTGTAATATTGTTTTTGTCTTTTTTTAGGAGATGCATTGAAATGTTTTTGTTTATACATGTTCCATACAGCAAACATTGTTTGGCAGACAGAATGATCTTCTTCGGCATGTCATTGAGGAACATTTGTCTGTCTGCTTGTTTGTTTCTCCCATCTGTTCGTCTGCCTCTGTCTTTCCCTCTCCCTCTTCGTCTCTCTGTCCATCTGTGCATGTGTGTGTCTGTAGAAGGTGGAGGCTCTGGAGTCGGCCACTAAGCGCTTTGAGGATTTGGAGTTCCGCCAGTTGGAGCGAGAGAGTGGCATTGAGGAGGAGAAGGAGACAGTCAGCAGGCAGCTGTTGCAAGAGAAAGCAGAGTATCACCGGAGTGTGGCCAAAAGGAAGGTAAATGACACTGATCTCAGGTCAGTTCTATTAAGGACTCATATCCTCAGTTTTGAGTGGCAAGTCCTGTATCAGACTGGGATGACAAATGAGGTTGGCTTCCGTTGAAACGTTTCTCTTGGTTGTGTAGGAGAAAATGGCAGCTCTGGAGATCCATGCTAACCAACTTGGACTTCAGGCAGCTCAGGATTGTGAAAGGATGGCCAAAGATAGAACACTGGGCCTGCAGATGCTCCACAAGGTTGGGAACAAAGCTTAATCTCTATTTACACTTCATGCAAAGCGTCTTCATCACCACAGAAATACAGCTGAGACTTGATACTTAAAGCTGAAGTCCATAGCTTTTTCTGGGTAAAAAATTATCCAAAATATACATATTTGAGAAAATACATAACCAGCCAGTGTTCAAAACTATCTGCTTGCCTTAGCTCGATTCAAAACGGTAAGCTTGTAATAATGTTTTTAATTCCAGTGGTGCTGGTGGATTTCCGAGGGAGATTCAAGTATGTCTTTGCGTCATTATGTCACATCTGTACACAAAAAGAAGGAGTACCGGCTAGTAGACTATATTGCGCGTGAGGATGTTGGAGGTGGAGATTTACATTTACATTACATTTACATTTAGTCATATATTAATATATTATATAATAATAGTAATCAGCTGATTGTCTCACAAATGTAACCAGCACATTTCTCCCAGCCCGATCTCATGAAAGTTCGTATCTATGGCACGAATGTCATTTCTCGTGGCATTTATATGGCAAAAACAGTTTTTGCGTGTATATGGCACGCGATTTTCGCGTACATATGATACGCACTTTTTTGCGTATAATACGCACGAACTCCCCACCCCCCTCCCCCCTAAACCTAACCCAGGGTTTTTAGTGCGTACCATATACACGAAAAAAACACTTTTGGCGTATAAATGCCACGAGAAATGACACTCGTGGTATAGATACGCATCTTCATGAGACTGTGTTGTTTCTCCCCACAAAGCAAACACATAATACAGTGAGGGAGAAGAACCACATGAAATTATGCAACTATACATTTTTTTCTAAAAAAGTAGTAAAGGTTTAGCTGGCTAAATATGAGCTGTTACTGTGGCTGAGCTGGTTAAAGCGTAAAGCATTGTTTAAACTGGGTGCGCGTAGCAAAAATGACGTGATTGTAACAGCACCATTTACTACACACAACAGGCTTTTTTCTCTGATTTGGAAAACTCTTCGCGATCGACTTAAGATGCTTCCATGATCGACGGGTTGGTGATTCCTGTAACATACTGTTTTAGGGTCAATGACATGAGTACTAATCAGCTGTCTCGTGAACGTAACCAGCACATTTATCCCCACATAGCAAAGCCAGAACACAGCGAGGGAGAAGAACCAAGTTACATGAAACAATCCTACATATTCCTACGAATAATCCTACGAAACACACTCTGTAGCAATGCTTGTTCGCGTTCGGCTGCGGTAGAAACATGAGTCACAATATGTCGACTTTCATAGATGGGGGTGCCCGTAGTGATGTAGATATAAATGTCTCATTCCAAGATAATAAAAACATTACGGTTTATTAAGTAAGTTCTTTATACACCACTGAAAACATAGTTATGGATGTCATATTGCATTTATGTCAATAGATTCTCCAAATTTTTACACATTGTACCTTTAAGTTGGTATGAAATCAAAAATTAGTTTTAATTATTTAAATATAGGTTATTGATCTTATTGTGAACAATTCATCCATGTATATTTTTTCATTTTTTACATTTTGTTTCTATTCTTTTTTTCATTAATTTATTTATTTATGTTTTTGAACTCGTAATGTTTGATCAAAATGTCATAATTAGATCTTCCAATGAAAATGGCAGACTTCCCTCCGGTGAGGTTGCCTAGATCATCAATCATTTAGTTTGCTTATACCTGCCCCTCCACAATCGATTGTGTGGCAACATTGTGATGCAACCAAGCCCCCGCCCTAAGTTTTTTCTTTGCCGATAATCTGTTACATCGCAATACAGAATAAAAGATCTATTGCTATTTCCATTTCATAGCAACTTTAATGTACTTTCTGTTTCAGTATCATTGACTCAAGAAAATATATTACCAAGAGAATAAAAAAAGAATACAAAAATAGGTTACTACTTTTTTTGTCACATTTATTTATTAATTGGCAGCATCGTAGTTATAAACAGGAAAAAACAGTTAACGTTGCAAAATTACCTAAGTGTCATTATTCAACTCAGTTTAGTTTGTTATATCCAAATTCACAATTTAAAAAGTATGGTTATATAAACCATAAAACTCCATAATGGTAAATCAGACCCTTGATATATTTTTCTTTAAGGAAAAGGAGAGACTGTCTGCCCTAGAGAAGAGATACCAGAGCCTAACTGGTGGAAAGACTTTCTCCAAGCCAAGCAGCACAAAGGAGGTAACACCAGCCATGACTCTACTAATCAATGGCCAATTGACCTGTTTTTGTTTGCCAAATGTTTTTGTTTGCTCTTTTTTTTATCCCTGTCTAATCTAGTAAACAGACTGTATACAGGGGCCTCCAGAGAATTTATAACAATAAGAATAAGTATAATAAAAACATCTGTGCTCTATCTCAGTATTGAGTGCATTGGTTTGAAATAACCGTATCGCTGTGTACATCCTGATGGTGGTTGTGTCTGTAGGGATCCACTCCACTCCTGCTTAGAAGTAAAATGAGCATGTTTTTTTTTTTCTGGGTTATCGCCATCAGCGGTACGCTTTATGCCTCTTTGATCAGCCATAAAATATGTAGAGGCAATTTGAAGAAGTTTGATATGAGACAAATAATGTCATAAAAATGTTATTTGACATGGTTTGCGCAACACTGCACAAACTATCTTGGTGGTGTTTTCTGACTTCGGTGTTCATATTCAAAACAGGAAGTGCTCTACATCAATGAACCTGACTTTTTTGATGAGCTCCCTTCCCAGAATTCTCTGCTCCCTTCTTCTTGTTGTCAAAGATCCACCACTCAGACATATTCTAACAGGCAACAGGAGGTAAAAGCATTACCCCAGGACAGCTGTGGGGGATCTACAAACTAACAAAAACATTGTCATTGGTACTTACTCAGTCATTTCACCATTCATAATGAGCATGTTACTACAGTATGTGGCTGATGAGAAGGGATTGAAATTGTATAGAATGTAATGATTTCAGTTTCTTAACAGTTCCGCTAATGATTTGTCTGAGAATCGTTAGTGTTATCGGCTCTCAGTTCCCAACCCTACTGATGTGGATGGACATAACCTATAGTACCGTTCAAAAGTTTGAGGGCGGCAAGATTTGTAAAATATTTTTGAAAAAAGTCTCTTATTCTCACCAAGGTGCGAGTGAATAAGTTAAAAATACAGCACAACAGTAATATTGTGAAATATTAATAATAACTGTTTTTTTTAAAATATGTTTTAAATGTATTCCTGCGATGGTAAAGCTAAACTTAAATGCTTTAGAAAAATGATAATGATAATGATAATTTGGTGCTCAAGAAACATTTCCTATTATTATCTATGAAAACTGTTGTGCTGCATAATATTTGGAAACTGTGATCATTTTTTTTTTCAGGATTCTTTGATAAATAGAATATTCAAAAGAACATTATTTATTTGAAATATACAACTTTTGTTACAATGTATAGTGTTTACTATTACTTTGGATCCTGAATGTGTCCTTGCTAAATAAGAAATTCTTTAAAAAAAATCATACTGACCCCAAACCTTTGACCCATAGACAAATGTGTGGTATATCATACCTTGAATATTTTCAGGATTTTATTTCAGTTGTTGGGTATGTGATGTTCATTTGTTGAGCATTCATTGTACTGGTAACAGCTATAGTTACTGAATGCAAATAATTTGCATTTTGTGTGAGAATTCACTGTGCACATTGTGGGAGTTGTCTGCCTCAATCCAGCATGAATGGTTTTCAGACCATTGATGATTGCTGTGGTTACATATCGTAGTACTGGAGTGGCGGACATTGACATTCTGTACCACACATTCTGCATGTGTGTATATTGGAGATGTTGCTTGGCATGTTTGTGATGTGTTGGGCATAAGCGTGCTTTTTCCAGTGGGTACATGAAGATTTAAGGTGCAGTTCTTCATGGGTTGTTTGAAATATGAACTGATATCTGATGTGGATGTGTGTACGGATGAATGGGTGTGTGTGTGTGTGTGTGCTTAGGAGTACCTCAAACTCTCTGATGTATATAAGATGTATGGGAACGGATGTGTCCCTGCCCAAACTGCTTTCCCTAACGCGCTCTGTCTACCACTGGCTGTAACATCAGACACACCTCGTGAGGTATGACTCCTCCACTCACTCTTTCATCCATGACAGAATCTTTTCCTTGCCTTTCCACCTCCTGTTTCCCTTTCCAGTACCATTTATTTCTAGTTTGTGGCTTTTCTTTTATGATGCTGTCTGAATAACTCACTGGCTGTCTACTCTTGAAACTTTTCTTTTTCATTTCTTCCCACTCCCAGCTGTCTTAGTGTCTTAGTTGCTGTTGTATCCTGTGCCTCTGCTATGCTAGCTCTATGCTTTTCTAAACCTAAAATGCCCACGTTACATTTTATGTTTGTGTTTGTGTGTGATGGGGCTGAATGTATAAAGGAGTATGTGACAGTCGGTCAGTTAAACCAGCTGTTCGGGATGCCTAAAGTTGACCCCTCCCCCACATCTTCCATCCAATCATTCCAAGCTATTGTCGCTGATCCTGTCCACTCCAGCCACACATCCCAGTGTGGCTCTTCCCAGTCACTTCCTGCTGAGGTGTGTGTTATTTCCTGGTGTCGATGTGTTCATGATTGTATTTACCATAGCACTCACTGGCTAGTCCATGTGAAATCTGAGTTGAATAAAGTGGGATTTCAAGCTTTTGGTTTTGAGACATTTTCCTTTTCTTTTTTTTTCTTTTTTTTTTTTTACATTTTCTAATCTAAATACCACTTAATATTTTCAATGCATGTCTCCTCTTTCCTTTCTTCCTGTATCAATTTTTCCACTTTTTCCCACCTATCCTCCCTTTACCTGGACTGCACTTCAGACCCAGCCTGCATGGAGTAGGCCTTCAATCCCCAGGCTAGATTCAGAGCGCTGGTACCAGGAAATCATGGCAGCTGGGGAGTCCAGTCATGCCTGTCCTCCCCCTCTGCCTGCTAAGTGTCTCTCCTCACGTAAACCTATGCAGGTAAACTCTTTTCATTTGTCTGTTTTCTATTCTGCTTGCATCTTTTGTCTGTCCTTAAGTTGCCTGTCCTTAAGTTCCCTGTCCTTTTGATTGAATCTATGCAGAAATAACCACTCATTTTTAATGTACTGCTGTTACGTCTGTTACGCCTACATTGCCGGGTGCCTGGTTGCTTTGGTGTCGTATTTTTCCTCGCTTGTCATTGTCATTATGGATGGAGGATATGAATGATGAAAGGATAAAGAACATGTTGAGATGTTTTGTCTTTAGATCTGTAAGCAGGATGGAGAGCTGGGACAGACCAATGGTACCTTTACACCCCTGCCTTCCACGACCACATCAGGCAGAAACACACCCACCAAAGTAAGATGGTTTATAATGTAAGAGGCAACAATATGGAGTCTACATTTTTTTTATTCAACTTTAGCTGTGCTTAAATATATAATGCAACATTTTTCATCCACCTTTTCAGCACCCGTGGAAATATTTTTCCCATAGGCATTAAAAAAAACTAATTAAAAAGAGTTATTAGCCATGAACCAGATCAACCTGGTATGAGGTGATTCACATATCAAACCTTGATTTGAAGCAAAAAAACATTTGATAATTGGATAAAAAAAAACACGTGTTATTAGCTTTAAACAAGGAAAGAGCAACGATCCCATAAAACAGTGCTAATGACCAAATCTAAGAGATTTTGCGATATTTCCCGTTTGCACAGCCGGGAATCTGGTTGTTTGAATCTGTTAGTGTGTGGTGTGCTGTCCACACACTATTGGAACAAAACTGTAAATATACAGTATATATATATAAAATTATCGTCATGTTTGTGGTCTGTCACATTTTGAAAATCTGATAAGAATCTTTTAGTGTGGGCCAGGCTTTAGCTTCATTCAGCATGTTGACGCATTATGTGGACTACATTTAACCTTGGTATTGTGCACAACCTTGGTATTCTTACTTCAAAGGTTGGCATATGATGTGTATTTAATCCTTAAAAAATTAGAATGTGCAATGTGGCGTAGACATACAGGTGAAGACTGGCTCAACTTGAAACCTGTTGTAGCTCCATTATAACTCCACGTATATTGTTTTCAAATGTGTCACTTTTCTGTTTTATCTTCAGAGTCTCCCAGACCTATCTCCTGCTTATTTGGACTTAGACTCCAGGAGACAGTTAGATCTACAGGGCAGAGGTAGTCCATCAATCATTATTATCAGACCGTAAGCAGCGTGTGTTGAATAATTTAATGTTGTTTTGCTAACACATCTACATGTAACCCATAGATGGTTGTAGACATACTGTAGAGTCTAGTGTTTTTATTGATCTGCTCTGTGTGTTTTTCTCCAGGGCTCTATACATGTGATGATTCCAGAATCAGGCCTACAGATCCTAAACACAGCCAGTGGGGGGCACCACCTTCAGGAGTTCCCATGGTACACCACTCCATTCTCCACCACCAAGCACCCCCAGCAGGAGAGTCGACTTATGACACTCTGAGTTTGGAGAGCTCCGACAGCGTGGAGACCAGCGTATCTACCGGCAACAATTCAGCCTGTTCACCTGAAAGGTGAGATGCAGTTGTCAAGGGAACCCTTCGTTCTGCCTCCATTCCCCTGACAACGGGTCACGCTGCCCAATTTCCCCATAAATGTTTTCTCATCCTCCTCCCTGAATAGTTCCTGGGTTGTTTCCATGACAACGCATACATCCCTACAAAGAGACATGCTATTCTTCTCATCTTCAAAGTTTGGTCTTGTCCCGAGGCAAAAGAAGCACAGAATGTCATTTTAAAGTATGTGCTCCTTGGATATCCCAGGGAAGCTTCAGGTGTTTAGTCAGATGTTGAAGTCATGAAAAGACGTTCTCTTGATGTTGCCCTACTTTTCAGCGTCGATAGTCTGGACAAGAATCTTTGACCTTGCATTCTTACATTTCGGTTAGATGTTTCAGCAGTTTTACCTCACCCTCGACTAACCTTTACTTTGAGATGGTAAAAGAGGGTCCTCAAGTGAAATAGAAAAAAATCACATCCTCTTCAACCAAGCAAAATAATGTACTTTTTCTTTTTTAACCAGTGGCATATATACATATAAAAAGTCATATTACTCACAATAACTATGCAACTTTTAAAAAAATATACATTACCATTTAAAAGTTTGAGGTTTGAGTTTTTTTAACTACAACTGTTATTCAGGAAGGATGCATTAAATTGACCAAAAGTGAGAGTAAATACTCTTATTTCTTACAAGAAAAATGTATTTCAAATTAATTCTGTTATGCCACAAAAATATTAATCAGCACAGCTGTTTTTTTAACATTGATTATAATAATTTGCCATCACAGAAATAAATGACACTTTAGCTAAACTCTGCAGGAAAGGGGACCTTGAGGGCCAAAGTTGAGAACTCTTGCTGTAAAAAAAATATTTAAATTGAAAACAGCTATTTTAAGGGATAACCATATTGCTCAAAATTACTGTTATTTACTGTATTTTTGATCAAATAAATGAAGCCTTTGTGAGCTTAAACTTTTTTTAGTAGTATATAATGTCGTAGATTTTAAATTTTTAGTAATTATTTTTATAATGTTTTAAATGTTATTTTAAGAATAATTTAATAATAATTTGTCATTAGACTTACTCGATTTTTTTAATATAATATATTTTAATATATTTTTATTGTTGTTGTTAAAGTGTTTTTTGATATTTATTTAGAAATCAGTGTAGTTTCATTTAAAGCTACTATGATCTGTCTAGAGTGAGCATTTGGGCCCAATGTCGTCTTCTGCCACTGGAAACACCACATAAACCGTAATCGTGTGTTTCTCTCTTGGCAGCAATGGGCTGGCAGGACTGAGGCTGGAGGAGATGGAGAAGATGTTGAAGGAGGCCCAGCAGGAGAAAGCCAGACTGGTGGAGAGTCGAGTGAGTACCATTAAACTTTAATTGTCTGTGAAATATAATCCATCCCACAGCCTGTCTCTCATATAAGAGATCTTTTTCATGAATTTAAAAAGGAAGCCCTGGTCCCTTTGGCATTACTGCATTAAAGATTGTTTCTTACCTACAAAGAGTGATAGACATGAAAGGCTGGATCTTAACAAGCTCTCAGACAGTAATACTCAATCAAACAATCTCTTGCCGAATTATTTTTTCATGGATCCCCAGTCACTCCGCTCTGTGTATTTTATGTATTTGTATGTATTTTTCCCTATCGCCTATTAAATCTTCTCACAGTGGATTTGAAGCCCCTGTCTGTCTGTCTTGTTTTCGTCAGGAGAGAGAGGTCCAGGCACGGAAGCAGCTGCTGGAGGCCGAGAGGAGGAGGCGAGAGGAGGTAGAGAGGAGGCTGATGGATGAGACCGCGCACAGGCAGAGACTTGTGGAGGAAGAGGTCAAGATGAGAGAGAAACAGTGTTCTCAGGTCAGTGCATCTGGAGAATACCTCAATGAATTGGTCTCAGATCAGCAATAGAGTTATAGAGTCTCCCAATCGTTTATTAGGCGGGCATAAAATCATCGCGTTTCCCAGTGAGATAAAAGGGACAATACTAAATAATAAGGCTTTCATTAATAACTCATGTATTAATAATAATTATCATAATGCTTTATAGATCAAGAGACCATGTAGATTCATATATTTATATGTGAATGTAAATATAGGTCAGTGATGTGGCACATTTAAGTTATTCATAAATATAATTAAAACTAAGAAGCTTCTTAAATATACCTCTTACATAAAGTGCGTAAAAAGCTATTGTGATATATATATATATATATATATATATATATATATATATTGATATTATTTAATCACATTTTTTATTATTTAGTTTATATTATTATTCAAAACATTTTTGAATTTTATTTTATTAATTGATTTTTTTTATTCAATACATCAAAGTCAATGTGGTATAACTAACATGCAGAATAGAATTCCCCATTAATTAATTAGTAAGACCTTCATTCATCTTCAGAATGCATATTTGATGAAATCCGAGCGCTTTCTAAACCAGCCATAGGCAGCAACGTCGTTGTCATTTTCAAGGCCCAGAAAGGTAGAAAAGAAATTGTTAAAATAGTCTATGTGACTACAGTGGTTCAAATGTAATGTTATGAAGCGACGTGTATACTTTTTATACTGATGTCCGCAGAGTGTGTATGTGAAATTTTAGCTCAAAATACCCAACATTTTTTACAGCCTGTTTAAATTATCACCTTTTTGGGCTCAGAAAAACACACAGTTTTTGTGTGTATCCTTTTAAATGCAAATGAGCTGTTGCTGCCGGCTCAGAGGGCGGAGCTTCACGACCTGGCTCAGGCCCCGTTTACACGAGAAAGTTTCCGGGTAAAAACGTAAAAATATTTTATCAGACGTGCCTTTCGTTTACACGGCGACGGCGTTTTTGAGGCTTAAAAACGCAAATGTTTGCTTGACAGTGAAGGTAACTTGTACGCAGCTCGTGGACTTGGTGTTGTTGGAGTATGCACTCCTAGCCGCCTGAAGTGCATTCTACATTGAATTTCACACACTTTTGTGTCACCATTTGCACGCGGATTTCCCACACAAAACGCTCGTCTAAACGCAGAATAAAAAGTGATGACGCATCGCCACTTTTGCGTTTTCTCTTCAGAATCGTTTCCGTGTAAACATAGCCTCAGTGACAGAACAATCATATCTCACGGAATGATAATCTTAAAACAGAAACTCTCAGTAGTGTTCATTTCGACCCCAGGTCGGACAATAATGCCATCGAGTCAGAAAATGTATGCTGTATGGAGATAGAACAGGTATAGTCTAGTTTAATTACAGTTAATAACTTAATATTCATCTTGCTTTTATCCACTATTAGTACAAGCCTGTTGGAGCAGACCGTGTCCGAATGATGGCCAAAAATATACTAATGAGTTCAAAAGATGAAGTGTGCATATAAGAAGTGCGCATTAAAGTCTTATCCATAAAGTCTCTCTCTTCACTCTCTCATTTTCATTATCATCAGCATACACAGCGAAGTACACAAAACACTCTTTACAACTAACAGTAAATAAATATATACACAACTTTTCAGGGGTGCTTAATAAATTGGTAAACTTTATATCTGTAAAACGACTCGATGAACTGTCATAAAGTGCACTTCCATTTCTGCCGTGATCAGTGACGTTAGGCCTGTCGCTCCGGAGACCGTAAGCTGGATCACGAACAGTTGTACTGATCCGTCCTCGAGTAACAATGAGAGTAAATGAAGACTGCTATCTGAGGTTTTTTTTCCAGACAAAATACATAAATCTCTCGTCTCAGGGGGATATACTGTAAGGGTGGAAAGCATGGTAATTCAAAAATACTACAGGTTTCCTACTAATACAAAGCTTAATGCCAAATCCTTAAGTATACGTTTAATGACAGAATTTTCATTTTTGGGTGAACTAACCCTTTAACTAATAATGTTCAGCATAATATAATGTGTGTGTATAAATATGTAACATCAGGTTAGTTATAAATCCGCATTTGAAACATGGATGTATACACAGTGGAGTAGCGCCTGCTCTCACTTGTACAGACAGTTTCAATGTCTGCGTACAACTCTGAACACAGCAGTGCACTTCACCGGTGCCGCTCTGAGGTCAGTGAATGTTTGGATTTGCTCTTTAAAAGTCTTTATGAGGTCACTTGCTCAGCTTGACTGGGCCAGACGGGAGGCATGAATGCACAGAGAGCAGCTCCGCACAGCAGGTGGATGAGAGGAGACACGCAGACAGATGGTGAGAGGGAGACAGCAAAAAGAAGATAAGATGGGAGGGGGTGTAAGGCAGAGGCAAGGAAGGGCAGGGCAGTAGGACAGCAATGTTTTAAACACTGATAAGTGACACAACCAAACAATGAGTTCAACCTGTGATCTTCACCACTGTGTGCATTTTTCTGATACATGCTTAAATACAGTGATCAGAATATCAAATTATCATGCTATATTGCCATTAAATGTATTGTTGTTATGTGTACCTGAATGAGTATTTTTTTAATGGAAATATTTGAGACAGCAGCTAATCTGAGCTCTACCCTCCTCAGGCTCGGCCAATGACGCGCTACCTACCTATTCGAAAAGAAGAGTTCGACCTGCGTTCCCATGTGGAGTCATCAGGCCACTGCGTGGACACATGTCCGTTTGTCATTGTTACAGAGAAAATGTGCAAGGGCCATCTTGTGAAGATGGGCGGCAAGATCAAATCCTGGAAAAAACGCTGGTTTGTCTTTGATCGGCTTAAAAGGACCTTCTCTTATTACATAGGTAAGATAATTGTTGTATTTATGCCTGATTAAATGGTCAGCAAATTTGTTTTGTGGTCAATTTAGAATTTTACTTTTTTAAATTCAAAATACAGTTTTTATAACAGAGACATTTTTCATAAAGCATACTGTGTATATTTATAAGTCTAATTTATTTCCTGACAAATTGATATAGAAAGAGATTTAAGTGTAAAGGAGAGCACATACTTTTTCTGGTGTTGCTTAGTATAAGTCAAAATACATAAGGTGGAAAAAGAGAAGAAATATGGGGGAAAAATTTTGACGGCACTTACAAAGTGGCAACTTCTGGTGAAACGTTTTATCTCTATTCGCTCAATTTCCGATCATCTTGTCTTTCTTTTAGATGTTCTCTCTCTCTCTCTTTGCTCATGTGTGTAGCCTTTTCACCCCCTCACTCCCCATGTTAGTGGTGATGATGATGATGGTGGTGATGATGATGATGAAATAAACTGCAATGCTTTCTCTAGCCCAGCGTTTGTGAGGGATGGGGGTGTAGATTTACCCCTGGCTCAGTTCTGAGTAACAATACTGCACTTAACTCTTCAAAAACATGAAACACAAAAACAATTTATCCCATTACTAAGCAGATTTGTATAAGGAACAGAGGGGAAAAAAATGAAACCTTTCAAAGGGGAAAGTAGTCAATCTTAATCGCAACACTGATGAGAGGGGGCTCACTGGAGGCTGACAAGCTTAAAACAGTGGTTTCAAACATCTACGAGATAAGAATCGATCCGAAGAGAGATGTTAATCTGCGCTAAGTAGCGAAAAGGAACGTCTGTCATAGGAGCTGTTTACAGAGGGTGGCAGACAGTGTTAAATTGAGACACACAATGCTTTTAGGTGAATCGCTCTGATCGCTAGAATTCATTTCTGTTTTATGTGTTTGTTTAATCCCTGTGGAAAACCTTTTAAAAGACCTTTTTTATTCCAATATCTAGTTATTTCTGTCACAACAGACTCTTTGAATGATGCAAATGCAATCTCTTCTTAATAAATAATAAACCTGATCTGTAGAATAATATCATTAAAAAAAAATCCATACATAGCATTGTTATTTTCCTTAATTTTTTTCCTTATGGTTTGTACTCAGATAAACACGAGACCAAACTGAAGGGTGTCATCTACTTCCAAGCCATAGAGGAGGTGTATTACGATCACCTGCGCAGCGCAACTAAGGTAACGAGTGAACGGATGCCGTGCTTTTTCAACACCTCCTGTTTACCATCAACAAATCAAGCTCCATACTACAGCACCAACACTGAGCACACAGTGAAAGTTTAAACAGACAGGCGTCTTCATAAAGAGAATTTCTTACAGCAGAAGGCAAGGAGATCAAAGGCGGCTTCATGTTCATGTACATTTCGTCATGCTTTCTTTTTTTCACTTCAGCGACATATGCCTTTTTTTCCTGCCCTGCTGTTCTCCATCTTCTCACACTTTAATGCATACTGTGTCTTTTTTTCTGTCCTTACAGAGTCCAAATCCTTCGCTAACCTTCTGCGTGAAGACTCACGATCGACTTTATTTCATGGTGGCACCGTCTCCAGAGGCCATGCGAATTTGGATGGACGTCATAGTAACGGGTGCCGAGGGCTACACGCAGTTTATGACCTGAGGGAAAGAGGATGCAATCCTCCCTGCAGTGATCTGAGATTTACCAGGATATGTAACATATGCAGAATTATGTCAAAACTTTCAGCCAGCACTGACTGACTTCTTTGTCATCATGACTAGGAAGAGAACTGAATTCAGGCCGGCCTGATGACGATAACATATTATTGTGCAAATAATGCTCAAAATTTATGTTACTAAAAATAGAAGCTGAATATATATATATATATATATATATATCTTCAGATATATATATATATATATATATATATATATAGAGAGAGAGAGAGAGAGAGAGAGAGAGAGAGAGAGAGAGAGAGAGAGAGAGAGAGAGAGAGAGTTTATCTCTGTATTATTGTAATACAGAGACAGTTACAGAGCTTACAGTATTTTATGGCATTTCAAATCAATCAAATGCTCAGTACTTTTATTTAATAGCTCTATAGTTTTAAGGTGCCAAGTCTTCAGGTGTGTGTATACATTGATGTATTACCAACACTTATCTTTACTTTTAGTTATTTAGGCGCAGTTACATGATTACAATGAGATATAGCTTTCATAATATCTTTTTAGGTGGGGAGGCAGAATTCATATTTTTAATTGCTTTTAAAGATAATGTTGTCTTGATTTGTATAATATCTAATTATATAACTTTTTTGCTGCAAAGATTCTTAAACAAATGGCTCAGGTGCTCAGACATGTTACTGAAAACTAAATGCCTGCTGCCTGATTTATAACTTTATTATACGAGATTATTTGGAGGGGGACCATTGCAGTAAACACTTTTGTTTTCAAGGTCTTGGTACGTTTGTACCGACAGGTTTTGTTTTGCCAAAGCTTCATTTGTGTCGATATGTGTACTCTAATTTGCACATCTTTTATTTCAGGGTTTTTAAAATGTATGGATGTGCCTCTATGATTTATAATCAGATATTTTGTGTATTGTGCTATTCAGATTATTGATATCCTCTTGGACATCTTCAAAGTCCATGAGAAAAATTGTCTGAACTTTTGATAATTCAGTGTTATAGCACTAACAATGTATTTCTAAATTCTTTTTTTTTTTTTTCATTTGACATAAATAAGTATTATATACTCTAAGGAAAATAAAAGTCTAACAAACAATTTTTTTCTTGTAGTCGCATAGAGCAGGACTAGTTGTCACACCTTTTACTCTAGTGAATATTTCTCAGGGTTGGTTTGTTTTAAAAAATCAATTTTGTATAAACACGTACCTTAAAGTTTTGATTGCAGAATGTTTGGCCATTCCCACCCAAAACAAATTGCAGTTTATCAAGGATGAGTAGTGGGATGAAATTTAAACACCAAAACAATTGTTACAAAACAAGGTTAAACTTTATGTTAAGGTGTCATTGTTACACTGTAATTATACATATACGTACTGAGTAATATTAAGTAACATGTACTTACTATAGGGTTAGGATTTGGTTTGTTTTAGGGTTAGTTGAAAGTAATAATGCATAATGTATAGTAATTACAATAGTTGCATATAACATATGTAACAATGACACTGTAAAATAAAGTGTAACCCAAAACAATTCATGAAAAAATGAACATGAAAAAGCAAACGGTAGCACAAAAATAAAAAAAATTAAAGCAAAATATTGTAAAAATATAAAATTGTGCTTTGAGAGTATATAATACTATAGACGTTTACCTGAATGTATCCCATTGTATGCGGGGTTTTTTTTTCACTTGTTAACCAAACAGCTGTAACTAAAATATAAAAAGTTTTGAAGAGAAAACTTCAACATTTTGAAATTGGACTTTTAACTCGAAACGTTATAGTTATTGCGTTTAACCATTGTGACAACTTCCCTGTGTGATAAGTAGTCCCTATCTCCCCTAAGAATTTATGTATATGAGGTTCACAGATAATATATATATATATATATATATATATATATAATCATACTGGTATAGTCGACTTGATCCACGCATTTAACTAAACGACTAATAGATCTTCTCAAAATATTTTCTATTAAAAAGTGTTTATCGTTCACCTGACACATTATTCTATAACCAGTGCTTGCCTATATTTGCCTAAAAGAAAGAAAAAAACATAACTGGCAGTGGCAAACCAAATGCTTGCATCAGGAAGTCATGTAGCCTACTGTAAGTAAACAAAAAAGTGCGGGTTCAATAAAACGGACTCTTCGCTTTAACCGCAGAACACACTTAGCCAGACATCAGGTTACATGTAACTATCCGTTCATGGACAGGGAAATTCCCAAGAAAGTCCCACAGACACAGTATAAACAATAAAGTTTATAAATGAAAAACAAACGTGCGTGTATTTGTTTTTACTTTGATGTTTTCTTTCTTTTTTGCAAAACACTTCTCATTGGATTTGTCAAGGATAATGTCCTTGGATAACAAGTAGGGCGCGGGCGAAGCGGACTGTTTGCCCAATGTGCTCGATAGAGGGCGCCGCTCGTCATGTCTCGTCTCGCCGCTTCAGCGCGTGTTTTCATGTTCCAGATGCAAGGGCTGGATCTGCGTTCCCCTCTGTGTTCTGCTGAGGCCCCGGGGCCCTGAGCTTGTTTTCCTCTCTGCCTCGCACCCATTCATTACCATAACAGTTAAATGCAACTACAAATGTCATCAGCGCGTTATAATGATGCCATCTGTCTACACACCTGCAGAGACTCACCAATTAATTTATCACTTGATGCTAATTCGTCTCACTTTAAAATTAAGCAACATAAAAGCAAAAGGAACTAACTCAACGAACATAATAAACGCAATTGGAGACAACAAATTCAAATAAGGACGTCGCTTTTAGTTAAAAAATGTCAACAACCTACAAAGACTAATTAATCTATAGCCTATCTTTTGAGTTTCAAAGAGCACCAGAAGTCCTCCCATATCAAAGCAAGAGGGGAAGGTTTGTGCCAGAATCATAGGGACTGAGCTGACACAATCAACTGTTGAGCCGGTGCAGAAGATCAAGTCGGAGACATTTGAGGGGAGCCACTTGGGAATCTAGAGCCCTCCACTTTGAAGCCGTGATCAACCGACCTAATCCAACCATGAGAACCATCTTCACGCATGCTGCACTCGCGCGCGCACTCGTTCAGACACACACTAGAGCTTTCAATGTTTACACATGTAAACTCACATAGCCTAAACGTGAATAATATAACCATTCAAAATGTAATAAAAGGGCGGGGGGAATTCCAACACAATAACTCCTTGAGTTTGTCCTTGAGTGGCTCGTGTTTAGTTTGAGATGCGAGACGCACCCCGAACACAGCGGCGTCCCGCGGGAGGGAGGCGCGCGACAAATGCACTTTCTCAAAATCAAACAACTTAACGCTGCCTCGCGCTCCCGAAGGAACAGACAGTGAAATGACTGCGGTTAGTTTATGCCAAGCAACGCAACATGGGTCATTAGACACATCTTTATCATGCACGCTAGGCCTATTTAAATTAGCTATGTGTGGGGGACGGGGGGGCGTCAAACCTCTTGAAACCTGTTGAAAGATATCCCGATTCCCACGATGCGGTTCTGCAGTGGAAAAAAAATGAAACAATAGCAATTTTGCTGCGATTCCTACTAGATGACTCCTATTGGGCCTTATATCTTTTTTTAAGTTACAGCAAGTAATCGAAACTTGAAACGATTTGATCGCTCGTGCAGGAGAATGAAGAAATGAGACAACAATGAATTCAGAAGGAGATGGTGATGAAATTGTGATGTAACTGTTACTAATGTGTGCTATACATGAACTTGGCATGATGCGTTTGCTCTCTCACCCACTCCTTAAGTATTCTCTGACAAACATACAGAATGCCTGGGGGGTTTGGGCCTAAGCACACTAAAACTGCATCTCACGTTTGAATGAGCTAATTGTTTCACATATGGACAGTTGGATTTATGGAGGAGGAAACAGATTTATCACTCCAATCAGCGCTCTTAATCCTCAAAAAAGCTATGATTAATTAACGTTACGGCCTGCACCTACATCTCTATTTGCAACATCAGCTATTTAAGGTGCGGGAAAAAATCTCAATACAAACAGAAACTCAAAGTAGCCTATGGCCCAACAGCACTGGGGCTGTCAGTGGCTAAGTTGCGCGCGCGCGCGTGTGTGTGTGTGTGTAGCCTATGTGTGTGCTGACTTTCTCTCACGCTTTGCGCAAACAGGGCGCCCCCACGGACCAATTAAGACACGGCGAGTTGGGAGAGTCAGCGCTTTCCTGGGAGAGATCCCACACTTCAACAACCATTATTATCTCAGTCTCTTCAACGTTACGACTGCGGTCACGAAGATTGCATCAGGCCTCACTTCTACAACTGCGAGGCTGAGCCGACTCACAAGAGGAATTACAGTATCACAGTACCTTCAGAAGCCCCTCTTTGATCCCGTCGCTCAACTGCTCCTCGAGAAAGCAGGTGTCATCTCGGTTCATGCAGGGCTATTAAGTGTAAATAAAATCAATTTCTCCTCAGTCGAGGAAGACGTAACCCTCTGCTAAAGCTACGGCATATCCTTCTGGCAGTTTTACACTTTCTTGTGTCTGTTCAGGTTTCCCATGTTTTGGCAAGACGATTGCATGGCGCTTTTCGAATTTATTACATATCCCATCATCATAAACACAATATTTCTGAGGACTCAACTTGGTTCATTTGTGTGGTGACTATCTGGACAGTGAAAAACTCGTATTAATTATGAAAAAGTCATTTCAATGGAAAAGGCTATCATTGACACTTGTTGCAGTTGTGTTTATTCAAGACTGAAGTTACTTTTCAGGGAATGTCGTTTTACTCAACAGAGACAAAACTGGAAAAACACGGGCCGAAAGGGGGAGCGAGAGCGCGCTCGTTGCAAATCCCATGGCAACAGCAACCAGAAAACATGTCTAAAATAGGGGGCAGTGTTCGCTATTACTATAGCAACAGGAAGACATCGCTCCTTCAATCAGCTTTAGGATTTGCTGAGGGGGGAAAACAAAGCTTGATTCTATGAAAACACGTTATTAACGGGAATTAAGTTTGCGAGTTTGAGGGTAATTTGTCTAGTCTCACAGTGGCCGCGCATGACTTAAATGAAGCTCAGCGTAATGTGGCGCGGGGTCCTTCTGAAGTTGAAACTGAATATGGCAAACAATGAATGAAACGTTCTTTCTCCCGCTAGATAGGGTTTGAGTTTAGCTCGATCGCAGAGTTTAACTTGCACTTTTCCCAATGGCAGTTATGCTGATGTTGAAACAATGATGTTAAGAC